GCATAAAGGGCTTGAGACCTTGCTCTCCCAAGATTCCCTGTTAAACCAGTTAGACCACCTCCTAGCCAGAGCTGGTTCGACCAGAAGCAGCATTGAAAAGCTGACATTAATTAATCCCCTCCTCCAGATCTCTGGAGATGTCCCTCTTCCTGCTCCAGTACAGCTTTACTTCAGGTTTTCTCTGTCTTGAATCTGTTAAGCCAAAGCAATGGACTTACCTGATTTTACTCTACTGTCCTCCTCCTTTGAAGACATCGCCTTTATATCAGCAAAGCTAAGATGGTTCTTATTTTATTTTGCAGTACTGGGGATTGAACTTAAGGCCTCGTACTAGCTAGGCAAGCATTTTGATCACGAGCTACACCTTCATTCCCTTTGCTTGTAATTTATTATTGGGGGGGGGTAAGATTTCCTGTTAATGTTGCCTTGGACCACCAGCCTTCTCTTTCCACCTCCCAAGTAGTTGGGATTACAGGTATGTACCAACCAAACCCGGTTCTTCTAAGACATCTTCTGATATCCAAACATTTTATCATCAGACACCATTTTCTTCCAATGGTCTTCCAAGCCTCCATTTTAGACTGTCAGAATTCCATCCTTATTCAAACTTTCAGTTTAATAAAACTTGGTGGAATCATCCTCTCATCTCACCTTCCAAAAGGGAACTGTCCTGTCACTGAGCCCTGGCAAAACACCTTCCTTTGGGACCTGCTGTGTCCTGGGCAGAAACAGCACCTTGTCACCTGGGACAACAAGGCTTTGGAGTGATGTGGTAAGCAGGCTCTGGGTTTGAGTACCTGCTTGGTCTATGCACTTTTCTTGCTGTGAAAAACTGCAAAGGGAGCTGGATGCTGGTGACTCATGCTTGTCATCCTAGCTACTCAGAAGGCTGAGATCTGAGGATTGTGGTTTGATGTGAGCCCAGGCAGGAAAATCTGAGACTCTTATCTCCAATTAACCACCAGAAAACTGGAAATGGAACTGTGGTTCAATGTGATAGAGTACTTGCCTTGAGCAAAAAAGCTCAGGGACAGTATCTAGGCCCAGAGTTCAACCCCCTGGACCAGCTAATAACAACAACAACAACAACAACAACACAATAATAATAATAATGATGATGATAAAAAATGCAAAGAAAGGATGTAACAATGTGGAATTCATATTTCCTATTTGAGATTCTACAATTGAGGTTCTTAGCAGGTCTTTAGAAATCTATAAAACCCTGAACTGGCAAGCAAAAAAAATTTTTTGTAGATCTTTCTATGTTGCCTATTGAATTCTGGGAAAGCTAGCTCTAAAGCTTTCATTAGATTCTCAGAGAGATCTGTTGCCCACAGTAGGTTAGGAATGGTGAGCTCCTGCAGGTGTAGAAACAATCAGAATGAACACTTATTCCAGGCACACTGTGTGCTGGAAACTGGGCGGGGCTTGGTCCATGTATCTGCCTTCCTCCTTCTTGTCACCTGGTGCAGTGGTTCTTGTCATAAAAGTAATGATCCTGATAGCAGTTGTCACAGTTTACGTTGACTGTGTGTGTTCTGCATTCCAGTCATGAGTGTAGATGCACCATCGAATAACCCTCCCTATTTCTATGGGCAAGTATTATATAGGATTTTTCCCATGTTACACATGAGGAAACCAAGGTATGAACAAGTGATGTCAACTGTTTGAGTTGACTCAGCGTGGGGCAGAGCTTCATGTTCAAACCCAATGGGTGGGCTTGAACACTTGCTCTCATCCTCTGTTGGTGGCCACAGCTAATATGGAGGCCTCACTGCATGCAAGCCTGGATAATTGCTCCTCTCATTTTTGTCCTCCATTGAAGTTAGATGTTTCAGTGACTCATCAAGGTTATAGATCGAGAAAGTAGGGAAAGCCAAATTTGAACCTACATCTATTTGATTTCAAAGCTTGGGCTGTTTCTATTTTGTGCTCTGGCTTTGAGTCCCTTTACTCAATCGCTCAGGGCAATGTTGAGGCTGGAGAGAGAGAAAAAGACTTCTTTTTGTAGAAGATCCAAAAGGACAGAAGAGGCAGAAACTGTCCTCCATGAAGACAGGGACTGGACTTGTCCCATTACTTAATTTGTCCAGCAGACAATAATCATTGTTAGTTCGGTCAGTTGGTATATTTACAGAGACAGGCAATTCTAGGGCAGTTCGTTCAGCTGCTGACAGTAGCAGGTGCAATATATATGTCCAGGCAGATACCACATGAGTGATAAGACCCACTGACTTACAAAAGGAAGGAATGGGACTGTGCCAGGCACAACTCAAAAGAGCTTTAACAGATTGTCATTTTGTTAAATCTCAAATTCACAGCCCTACCCTTGCTCTAAAGTGCAAAAAGATCACACAGCCATATTGGGCATGGCCGTGCATGCCTATAATCCCAACAGGATTATAGGAAGCTGAGACAGGAGGATCCTGAGTTTCAGGCCAACCTGGGCTATGTAGTGAGACTCCTATCTAAAAGGAAAAACTGAAGATGAGGAGGGATGGAAGGATGGAAGGATGGTCACACAGTTACTAGAACAGTTGAGTTGAAGTCTAGGTAGTGTGACTTGAAGATGTTCACGCCTCTGTCCTACTTATGGATTGTGTATGTGCCAAGGTAGAGGAAAATGCAAGTAATAGAAACACCCCTGGAATAGAATCTCCTTGACCAGTGGTAGGACTGTGTATTGGGAGAGAAGGACTTGGATATCTCTGGGCTGTGGAAGGGTAGGAATATCACACCACCTGCAGTGGTGGGGTTTGGTGCCCTCCCTCATTCTTGGCTCTCCATCTCCAGGCTTTGTCTAAGTGACTTCTAAGCAGTGGTCCTTTGGAGGGGAAGTGAACAAGCGCATGGGTGGTTCTAAGTCTCCTGCACTCTCTCCTGATCTGTGGCAGTTACTGAGAGCTTTGATCTGTGATCCTGTGGCCCCAGCCCTGAAAGGCATCCAGCAGAGTAACTGGGAAGCTAGGGGTCATGAACTTACTGCTAATCGTATAATTTTAGTCACCGGAGGGAAACGTGAGCACAATAGGATTAGAGCCATTTCTCAACAGCAGCCCTACAGTGATGGGGGTTGGTTCTGTTCATTACAGGATGAGAGTTCTTCTCTGGCCTGCTGGATGTTTAGAGCACCCCTTAGGTGCCAGCCACAGGCTCCCCTACATATTACAACCAAATATTGCCAAATGGCCCCAAGGGAATGGGGGAGGGGAGACTGAGCCCGATTAAGAACCACCTGGTTAGAGATACAGGTGCCCGCACAGGCTAGTGTACAAACAGTATGGTGTATATAGCTTTCTTGACTCAGTGTGTGGAATGGAAGAACTTTATGCTTCAGACTTTTTTCCTTTTTCTCTTTTTTGTGCAGATCCTGGGGCTTGAACTCAGGGCTCAAGGCTCTCGGTTTTGTTTTTGCTCTACCACCAAACCATGCCTCCACCTTTGGCTTTTTGCTGCCTAATTAGAGATAAGTCTTGAAGTTTTATCTGGCCAGGCTGACTTCAAACTTCAGTCCTCAGATCTTAGCCTCCCAAAGTAGCTAGGATTATAGGCATCAGGCACCAACACCTGGTGTGTGTGTGTGTGTGTGTGTGTGTGTGTGTGTGTGTGTGTGTGTGTGTGTGTGTGTTTGGAGAGGGGGATGGATGGAGAAGGTGAGTGCCCATCCTGAGGCTTGAACTCAGGGCCTGAGCACTGGCCTTGAACTTGTTTTACTCAAGGCTAGCCACAGTTCTACTTTGGCTCTTTTGGCAGTTTGTTGGAGATAAGCATCTCAAAGACTTTTCCTGCCTGGACTGGCTTTGAACCACAATCCTCAGATATCAGCCTCCTGAGTAGCCAGGATTATAAACATGAGCTACCAGCCCTAGCTCTCCTTTGCTGTTATAGGTGGTTTTCATCTGAATAGGAAACATAGCTTTGATTATGACTCTTACTTTGTAGGACCGTCTATAACCTAAAACCTTTAAAAAGAAGGATGATAATTGTAAGGTCCGCTCCTGGATGGCAAGCAGACTCCACCCTCCTCGCAGCAAAGTCTCCACCCAGTACCTGCGTTACCTAGGCAACTGGGACACCTGGAAGAGGTCACATCTGCATCCGCTGAGGTCACATCTGAATTTGATGTGGCCACACCTTTCCCCGCCCATACCCTAGATAAGGCCTAGCCCAGGCCCAGACGTTCTCTTGCTCTTCTTTTCTGCTCTCACTCTCTCTTGCTGCTCTTTTCTTGCTCTCTCTGTTCTATTCTAGCTCACTCTCTGTTCTTTTCTTGCTCTCTCTCTTTCCCAGCCACGTGGAGTGCCAACCTTGCCTGGTCCCAGCAGGTCTACCCCTTACCTGAATACCACGTGAGTGCTACTGTTCTTACCCTTCTCTCTGCTCTTTTCTGGCTCTTTTCTCTCTCTTTCCTCTCTTCCCAACTCTCTCTCATTACCAGCCTTTCCCAGCCACGTGGAGTGCCAACCTTGCCTGGTCCCAGCAGGTCTACTGAATAAACCTACCCCTTACCTGAATACCACGTGCGTGGTGCAGTTCTTACTCGGCTACCTCTTTTTAAAAACCTAACAATAATGCCAACCACTATTGAACACTACTTTGTGCTTGACACTCACCTGAGCACTTTAACAAATTCATATAAGAGGAAGGCATGCTATGCCTGTTTGACAGGTGAGGAAACTAAATCACAGGGTTGTGATTGGATGAACCTCACTTCCATAATGTTTGATACAGTGAGTCAGGATTCAGGCCTCATCTCTCCAATGCCCATGTTTGTCTCCCTGTCTTATGCACTGTACCTCCTTCCTTTTTTTCTCAATAAAACCTACATGATCCCAACAGGTGCCCTTCCAATCCTTGACTCAGGCATTTGACAGCATCGTGCTCCTGTGCAGTGAAATCAGGCACAGTGTATAGCTTAACGAAGACAACAAGTTGAATCACCAGACATGCAGCCTACAGCTGACCCTGACTGGAGGCCTGTGTCTTCTTGTGTCCTGCAGAGTGTCTTTATGTGTTCCCCTGCCAGTGGAACTACCGTCCAGACCACTGCATGTACGGGAGCAACTGCAAAGAGGCTGAGCGCGAAGGCGTATCGGTGGTGCATGGGAACCGGGGTGTCTACCATGACGACAAGCAACCAACTTTCAAAGCGCTCTATGAAGCAATACGGGACGTAAGTGTACCCTGTCCAGAGACACGTACTTATGAGCATGGCATAATGTCAACAGGCCTTTCGCAGGCCATCTATTCCCAAAGATAACTCCTGTGCGATTTGCCATCATATGGAAAAGAAATACAAGAAAAATGCTATTCAAACTTGGTGCTGGTGGCTCATGCCTGTAATCCTAGCTACTTAGGAGGCTGAGCTCTGAGGATTGTTGTTCAAAGTCAGCCTGAGCAGGAAAGTCTATGAAATTCTTATAGGTGATTAACCACAGAAAAGCTGAAAGTAGAGCTGTGATTCAAGTGGTAGAGCACAAGCCTTAAGAGAAAAAGCGAGGGGACAATGCCCAGGCACTGAGTTCAAGCCTCAGAAGCAGTGTGCGTGCGTGAGCGTGTACACGCACGAGCACGTACACACACAACACAGACACAGTTCCATATATTGCCTGGTTGCCAGCTCTAACCCCTTGAGCTATCAGGTTCAAGGTGGGTTATTGGAAAAAAGAGCCAGCCTGGCACTGCCTGGCTTATGCCTTGTGTTCCTAGCTACTCAGGAGGCAGAAATCTGAAGGGTCATGGTTTGAAGCCAGTCAGGGCAGAAAAGTTCTTGAGACTATGTCCAAAAGCCTGACTGGAGGTGTGGCTCAAGTGGCAGAGTGTCAGCTGAGTAAGTAAGCTGAGCAAGCTGGAGGTCTAGAGTTCAAATCTTAGTACTCAAGAAAAATAAATAGAGGAACCAAACTAAAAATAGCAATGACATCTTTTACTGATTTACCTTGTAACAGCATGAGCAAGAGTAAAAAAGAGGTGCCCCCTCCCCAGTGCTCCAGGCACAGGGTGAAGGTCACGTGATACCCCACAGATAGTGGGAATCTCCTTATGTGCAAGGAGCCCAAGACAAATGGAATCCACATGTTTCTAGCCCTGTGGGCCAGAGAAAGGGAGGAGAAGGGGAGAGGGGTAGGTATTGAGTCAAAATGGAATAAAGAAGCCCCGAAAACAGGCCTATGAATGCAGACTTGAAGATGAGCATGGCTAGCCCAGGGCAGAAGCCTGAGCCTTTGTCTGTGATACCCTCAGGAACTGTGCAGTGCTGAGCCTGTCAGGCAAGTCCTGTGATTGCCTGTGAATCTGAAAGATCATAGCCACAGTTCCCCATCCTTGGTTTTGCTTGCCAAAGTTTGTTACCCTAGCTAACCACAGTCCAGATATATTCAGAGGAAAATTCCAGAAAGAGTGGATTAGTTTTAAATTGTGTATTGTTCTGAACAGCATGATGATGTCTCATGTTATCTGCTCTGTACTGATCACATTGCCAATGTATCCACCCTGTATTCCTTTTCTTCCCATTAGTCATTTGACAGCCATTGGTTCAGGTCTAATTACAGTTTCAAGCACCCTCTCAGAGGCTGAGAGTATCCCCCATCATATTGTACCAAGTTTTATGGGACCTCTAGATCTGCTCTTCCTAAAGAGATGGATCAGCTAATGTTAAGCAAGATTTAGACATACATGAGGTCAGGCAGGGGTGGCTCATGCCTGTCATCCTAGCTACTCTGGAGGCTGAGATCTGCAGATCACAGTTCAAATCCAGATTGGGCAGGAAAGCCCACAAGTCTCTTGACCACCAGAAAATCGGAAGTAGAGTTGTGGCTCAAATGGTAGAGTGCTAACCTTGAGCAAAAGAAAGTGATAGCACCCAGGCCTGAGTTCAAGCCCCAGTACTGGCATAAGAAATGTAATAAAATCAAGACATATGTGAACTATCTTCTTGCAGCAAACGGGAAGGCTAACGTAATTTTACTTTGTGATTCACCTCCTAACGTCTTTTGTGTTCCACACTTGGGGAAATGCTGCATTCCCTGAGCTTGCTAGGAGAAAATGAGCAACAGATACTGCTAGCTTCCTGAGACTAGAATTCCAAAACAAAGAGCAGGGAGAAGCATCCATGGACCAAATCTGCTTCGTTGCCTACATTTTTGTAAGGCCTGTAGGCTAAGAATAGTTCTAAATAGATGAGAAAATTAAGAGAAGAATTTTATAGTGTGAAAAAAATTGTATATGAGATTGAGGTTTTAGTATTCTACATGTGGAGTCCCCAAAGGACACAATATACCTATCCATTCACCCCACCTCCAGGGAGTACCGACAGAGACTGTAGTGTCTACAAAGTCAAAAATATTGGCTAAGCCCCTTCGTAGGGAAAGCTTACCAGTTTGACATAAAGTATACAGACCCCATTAGAGTTTTAGGGAGTACAGCACTGGGGTTTGAACTCAGGAACTTGTACTTGCTAGGCAATTTGTGCCATTTCCCCGGCCCTTTTTGTTTTAGTTTTTTTCTTTTTTCAGGTAGGATCTCACACGTTTTACCTGGGAGTCAGCCTCAGACTATGATCAACCTACCTCTGCTGCCCAGATAGCTGGGATTATAAACATGAACCACCATAGCCTGCCTTTTGATTGAGATGAGATCTTTCTAACTTTTACCCCGGCTTGCCTTGAACCATAATCTTTCCATCTCTGCCTTTCCAGTAGCTGAAACTACAGGTATGTGCTTGGCCCTAGAGATTGTTTTCTTGAAGATCTAGGAACCCACAAGGTTTCCAAACAGGCTTTGTCAGAAATGAGGTAGGGAAGAATCTTTGTCACAGTAACATTTTTGGGGGGTGCTTGTGAAAATGCATTTTGCAGAGAACTCTAGCTCAAGAAACCTTGGGAGTTGTCTTCACTGCAGGAGAAGAGCTAAGCATGCACCTATACTAATACTTCTTCCTTCTTCTGTGTGTCCTGCTGTTGGGGTTTCAAAGGTCAGGTGGTTACATTACATGGAAAATCTCTTCTGCACTGTGCCATTCTCCCACTTGGATACCCTTACACTGATGAGTAGGGGCAGAGCAGCCCCCTGCAGGGCTGCTCTAAGGTGCCATGATCTGGCACCCCAGGTTTGGAATTGAGCAACTATGGTTCTTGTGTTTCCTGTGGTTTGTTTTCTGTGGGATCAGAAAGAGGATCAAATAACAGCTTTATAAAGGAGTCTGTCTGTGCACTCAGTCTATTCATTCAGGCATTTCAACCAGGACAATCACTAATCCCAAATCAATGTGTTACACAGATACTATCACAAAAGATGTATTTCCTAGCTGGGTGCCAATGTGAATGCCTATGATCCTAGTTACTCAGGAGGCTGAGATCTGGAGGATCGTGATTTGAAGCTAGACTGGGCAGAAACGTTCAAGAGATTCCATTTGAAAGAAAAAGAAAGAAAGAAAAGGAAGGAGAGAAAAAGAGAGAGAAAGGAAGGAAGGAAGAAGAAAGAGAGGGAAGGAAGGAAGGAAGGAAGGAAGGAAGGAAGGAAGGAAGGGAAAAAATGGGGGAGTTGGACTTCTTTCAGGGAAGCCCTGCAGGAGAGTGACAGGCTCTGATTTATGTTTGAAAATGTCACCTCGGTGGTTGGTGACAGGGGCACAAGCATGGAACACAAAGACTGTTTGTGAGACCAACTGCAGTCACACAGACAGGAGTGGGGGCCAGCACTGGCTTGCATGAAGGCAGGAGTTCTCGGAGAGGCTGTGCTTTTTGCTTTTTGTTTTTGGTCAGTCGTGGGCTTGAACTCTGGGCCTGGGCACTGTCCCTCAGCTCTTCAGCTCAAGGCTAGCACTCTACCACTTGAGCCACCCTGCCACTTCCCGTTTTCTGGTGGTTAATTGAAGATAAGAGTCTAGAGGCCTTTCCTGACTGGGCTGGCTTTGAAATGGGATCCTCAGATCTCAGCCTCCTGAGTAGCTAGGATTATAGGCGTGAGCCATCGGCACTTGGCAGGGGCTGTGTTTTTGTTATGTAGTCAGACAAAGTTTCAGAACTTGGTGATGGGTTTGCATGTAGGCATGAGGGGGAAATGAGTGAAAGGTGGCTACCAGGGTTTTACCCTGGCTGGAAAAGAGAGATTGAGGCCTGTCCTTGAGGAACATATCACTGGTCTAGGTTGTGCTGGGAACGAAAGAGTATCCTCAGGCTAGTCTAGGACAGAAGCTTCTTGCAGAGCATCTGTATGCTCAGGCTGGAAAGAAACTTATGTTGCTGATAAACAATACTGTATTCAGCAGTATTTCTGCTGAACTTTAAAAGCTCTGACGTTTTCTAGGAAAACAGACAGGCCCCCACTGTCCTCTCAGGCATTCTGCCTCTTTTCTGGCTCCTCCCCGCCTTCTAGTCTTTTCATATAAAAGGTCCATAGTGACTTGATCTACTAGCAGTCTCTCCTCTTTCAACAAGCCTAGAAAAAAAAAATGGGGGGGGGTCCGGTTGTGGGGCCTGAACTCTGGGTCTGGGTGCTTGCTGTCCCTCAGCTCTTCAGCTCAAGGCTCTACCACTTGAGCTACAGCACCACTTCCGACTTTTTTTTCTTTTTGCTTATGTGGTGCTGAGGAATCGAACCCAGGTCCTCAGGCATGCAAGGCAAGCGCTCTACCACTGAGCCACCTTCCCAGCCTCTAGAAAAAATTTTGATAGATGTTCATGATTCAGTTCAAAAGATTTATTTTAGAAAACACTTCTCGTGCACATAGCAACAACAAAATATCCATCTAGTGCCTCTGACTCATGGATTGTAGTTCAAGGCCAGCCCAGGCAAAATGTTGGTGAGACCCTCATCTCTACCAATAGTTCAGCATGGTGGTACATGCTTGTCATCCTAATATTCAGATGACTTAAACCGCCTGGCTCCCCCATGTCGTTTGTTAGTGAAAGTGGTTTATGTTTTACAACAGCAGTTCAGTAACTATACTTTTTTTTTCTTTACCATCTTTCAGTTTCCCTTTCAAGACAATCTCTTTCAATCCATGTATTACCCGCTCCAGCTGAAGTTTTTGGAGACGGTACACACTTTATGTGGCCGCATCCCCCAGGTGTTCCTGAAGCAAATTGAGAAAACAATGAGAAGAGCTTACGAGAGACATGTCATCATCCACGTTGGTCCCAATCACATGCGCTGAGCATTTCATCTTGTCACCGTGGACATATGGGTCTTTATGCTACCTGGCTCTTTTCGAGTGTGATTGATCATTGAATGGTGCTCCATGACTGTTGAGTTTTAAAAGCCTTGTTAAACATTGCTTAATTCGTGACCCCTAAAATGGAATAAGCCTTTCTTTAACTTTATTTTTCTAAAATCCTATTTATCTCTGTTCAATCATTGAAACAACCAATAGGACCAGGTGTGGTGGTACCTGCCTTTAATCCTGCTACTCCGTAGGAAGATTGTGGAGGCCAGGCCAGGGAAAGTTTGCATGAGCCCCTCTCTGGAAAACAAACAGAAAAGCAAAAGGCCTGGGGGATAGGGCAAGATGGTTTAGCCCTGAGTTCAATCTTAGTACCATTAACAACAACAGACAAAAACAACCCTCATTATTATGGACTTAGCATTGCTCCAGCAGACTTCTTAAGCTGTTAAATGGGAACTTTTCCAAGCCTTCCAACTCCTGTTCAGTGTTGGAGACATCATTTCAGTGGTATGCTGGGTGTGACATTTATCTAGCATTCCCACACTCTTTTTATGTAGTTGACTTCCTCATACACCCTTGTTGTAAAAAGTAGTACTTACATAAAAAACAAACAAAACTTGTGGAGACTCTAGGTCATGGGCAAAACTCAAGATGAGATTAGACATAATTCTACCAACCCGTGGAAAAGATTTAATATTTTTAATGTATTCCTTCCAGAGTCCCTTCCTGAACTCCCATTTCCTGAACTCCTTCTGCATTTTCTGTTATTCCAAGTATTTTAAACAGGTTATCTCCATAGAAGCCACCTTCTGTGCTAAGATTTTTTATGCAGGAGACTAAAACATTAGATGAGATTCTTATGTCTGCAGCATTCTTACAATGTGAGAAGTGTTTACATTTTAGCCAGTTGGGCAGTGTATCTGAAGGTATTTATTTTAAAACTTGCTTAGATTTGCAGAGGACTCAATTGTAAGAAATTTCTATGCAACAATAGCTTCTGAAAGAAATTCATTAACTGTGTTGAGTCCCTGGGGGAAATTCTTTAGCCAAGAACTGTGACTCTGCATTCTGCCACAGACAGACAAAAACATTTGATTTCTAAAGTTGTCTCTAGGTGTGCTCCTGTCTCTTTTGTGAAGAGAAATTAAAGAACGTTAAAATTTATTGTGCTCAAATAGTTCAGATAATTTCATTGACAAGAAATTTCAACTTCCTACCAATCTGAGAAAAGCCTCTTTTTTTTTTTAAAGTTTTTTCTAGGGCTAACCAATGTTAACTAAGAAACCTTGCAGGCCTTAAACATCTTGCTATAGTAGAAGTGTCTTCTATTTGCCAAAAGGATCTGAAGTCAACTCTAGTACCTGCATGGAGACATTTTACATAATTCTTTTGGTTATGTGTATACTGGTTCTGGAGCTTGAACTCAGGGCCCCTTAGCTTTTTTTGCTCAAATATAGTGCTCTACCACTTGAGCCATAGCTCCACTTGTAGCTTTTGAGGGCTGGGGGTAAGGGTGATTAATTGGAGGTTAAGAGTCTCATGGACTTTGCTGCCCAGGTTTGTCTCTGAACTGTGATCCTCAGATCTGTCTCTTGAGTAGCTAGGATTACAGGCATGAGCTACCAGCACTCAGCTCATTTATCCCAAATGGCTTTTGCATAACTGATTACATTGATGTCTCCAATAGCCTAGTGAACTGAGAAGAGGCCTCTGTCATCTCTGTTAAGATAAATAAGGAATTTGTCACCCAAAGAAATGAGCATACCAGAGAGAATCCTCTGCCATCTGAAGCTCTGTGGCTGCCGGCCTCTTAGGGAGCTGGGGCTCTGGGCACCAGGGGCTCTTTTCTCTCCTCTGGGCCTGAGAGGGAGAACATGAGCACAGCAAGAACACTGCACGGGTCCTGAAAGTGGCAGGTGGTGGGGTGGGAGGTTAAGACTGTAAGATCGGGGCCTGATTTTAAGCTGAACCAGGATGTGGTGGTTCTTCCGGTGCGAAATTCTAGAATTCTAGAATGATAAACTATGAGTCTATGACACCTTAGAACAGGGTATGATTTTCCACCATGGAATTCCTATAGTGTAGCCCATAATTAATTATTTAATATGCCGTATCTTTTAATTTAATAGGCTGTAGCTTGTCTGCCTTTGCTTAACTCCCAGGAAAAGCTTTTGAAACTTTTGAAGAGCCATAACATTTAAAACGTAATCTATGATTTGAAGTTTGCCAGAGGTTAGGCTTCAGCCCCATCAGTCCTATGAATTTATATTGGGAAGAACATGGGTGGGGCTTCTTCTCTTCTCTTTTGTCCTTTTTTCCCTCCTCTCCTCTCCTGTCTACTCTCTTCCTGTCCCTTCTTTTCTCTCCCTTCTCTCTTCCGGTATCCACCCTTTTCAAATTCTGTTTCATGTAACAGTGGAACTCCAACATGAACTCAGGGCCTTGTACTCTCATTTAGCTTTTTTGTTCATGGCTGGCATTCTACCACTTGCGCCTTCCCTCTAATTCTAGCTTTTGGCAGGTTGACTGGAGATAAAAGTCTCTGGGTCTTTTTTTTTTTTTTTTTTTGCCTAGGCTGGCTTTGAACTGAGATCTTCAGACCTTAGCCTCCTCAGTGGCTAGGATTATAGGTGTGAGCCACTAACACTTGGTGGGCCCATAGTTTTGTATGCATTGAAACCAAAGCTTCCAGTAGCAATCACTAGAAAATACTGATGATATTTTCCTTGCCATTTTATCCTGAGAAAATGTGACTTACATTGAAATTTTTAACATTTAAAATTTTAACTGGCAACAAAATCAATTTGCATTTTTCCTCAACTTCTAAAATGACAATTTGGCATTTGGGCATGGTGCTGTAAGTTTTATTCAGTGCTTTCCTGTGAGTTTTGACTTGCACTGAATTTGGTATTGACATGGGTAAGTATGTGGACTTATTTCTTTTATTGCAATTATGCTCATGAGCAAAAATAAAGAAGCAAGCCAAATCATGCACAGTCGTTTATATTATAATTCACAGTGATTGATCACAAAATTATTCCAAACCTGCCCTGCAAATAGAACAACGTTCAAACAAATTTGACTTATGTGTAAACATTGTCTGGTATTTATGCATGGCATGTGTTTGATTAACCAAAGAGAACATGATTTCAAGACCAAGTTCATTAATACGCTGAGTTTCATGAGAACACCTACTATTAACAGTCTTATGGCTGGCAACTTTTCTCATATTTTGTTTCTTTCCCATTTTTTCACATTCTTTTCAATTTTCCTTTCCCTTTCCATCTTGATGTAAACTTCTGAGTTGTATATGATACTGGGCTTTTGTGACCAAGTGACAGAATTTGGGGATCTCTTTGCAGGCAGTTCTAATCCTTAGATCAAATCTTCATGATAAGAATATTCCAGAAATTGGCCTTAGATCAAATCTTCATGATAAGAATATTCCAGAAATTGGGGCTGGGAAGGTAGCTCAGTGGTAGAGCGCTTGCCTTGTATTCCTGAGGCCCTGGGTTCGATTCCTCAGCACCACATAAGCAAAAAGAAAAAAGCCGGAAGTGGTGCTGTGGCTCAAGTGGTAGAGCGCTAGCCTTGAGCTGAAGAGCTGAGGGACAGCACCCAGGCCAGAGTTCAGGCCCCACAACCGGACCCCCAAAAAAATAATAATAATAAAGAATGTTCCAGAAATTAAAGAGAAAGGAAAAAATCAATCAACCCATCATGCACATGTGCATGTTACACATTTGTCATACCTATGAAATAAAGAATTATATCTACATCTTAGGTCAAATCATTTTACAGTTATATTGTTGGTATTTAAAACGAACAAAATTTCTCTGGCAAAGAGATGAGAGCTTTGCCCTAGTTTTTGTTTTTCACAAGGCCAAACTGGAAGTATCCTCTTAAGTCTTCAAGATGAAGCATTTGTGTATGTTCACTTCTGAACGTGGAAGGATCCGGTGTGACTTCTGCCCACAGCGGGTTTACGCATTTGTGTTGTCACTGATGAAAGTCAACCATTGCTTTAAGTCTCAAGGAGACCCTGAATGCAATTTTTAATGTTGGAAAACTGTTTTGAAAGGCTTTTGTTTGTCCTGGGTGGCTAATTCCTGTATCCCGAGGATAGCAGTTCAAAGCCAGACTGGGCAGGAAAGTCTGTGAGACTCTTTTCTCCACAAACTACCAAAAAATCTGAAAATAGAGCTGTGGTTCAAGTGGTAGAATGCTAGTCCTGAGCAAAAAGCTTAGGGGCAGCTTCTTAGGCCCTGAGTTCAAGCCCCAGGATATCCACTAAAAAGAAAAAAAAATGTTTGTTAAAATTGGCATAATAAAGAAAACTGCAAAGAAAGTGAATTGTTATAGTAATTAAAAAGGGATACTGAGTATGAAGATTAATTACTGTCTTGTCTTTTTAAATGTTACCTCCTGTTTCTCCTTGTTTTTAAATTAAAAGCTTTAAATATATGTCTTTTGGTGTTATTTTGGAGTTGCATCCCCTGCTATGTAGATGTAGAAATTAGTTTTTCACAGTTCTACATTTTATGTAGCAAAAATCAATCCTGACTTATTAGCTAGTACACGTTTCAAAAATGGGTGAACTAAGCTAGGCATTAATAGCACATGCCTATAATCTTAACTATTCAGAGGTTGAGGCCTGCAGGATCAAGGTTCAAAGCCAGCCTGGGCAGAAAAGTCTACAGAGACTCTTAACTCCAATTAACCAGCAAAAAGGGGCATGGCTCAACAGGTAGAGTGCCCGCTTTTAGAAAGAAAGTTGAAGGAGAGTGTGAGGTTCTGAGTTCAAGCCCTGGTACACACACACACACACACACACACACACACACACACACTAGTTGAACTAAATGTCAGGCATGGTGACATGTGGCTGTAATCATAGCACTTAGGAGGCTGAGGCAGGAAGATCTCAAGTTCAAGACCATCCTGGCTACATGGTAAGACCTTATCTCTAAAACAAAACAAAACAAAACAGACCCAAACTGAAGTGTTCCCAGAGTTTTAGGTTGATACAAATGTTTTCCTCCATAATCCTTAGTGTTTTCTTAGATCCATATAAATGCTCAGTTCAT